CGAGGCAGAAACCCAATGCAAAACCCGTAAAAAAAAAAAAAAAAAAAGGGACTGTGGCAAAATTCTTTACCACCATAGGGAACTATGTCACAGGTGTAGGCGCAAGACAACTTTCAAATACATTTGATGCAACAAAAAGAGAACAGAAATACATGTGGAAGTAAGAGTCCCAAAATTACATGACATGATCCTAATGCCAGGATTAAAGTGTATTTTTCTACTACACTGTACAATGTAAAGAAAGTCAGTGGTTCATATCTGTCATTTTATAAACACTTAACAGTTTTTTTCTCATTCTTGTGTATAAAGTCAATAAAACAGTAAAATGTTTGTTTAGCTGAGAAACCTTAAAAACAAAAATTTTTCCCTATTACAAATTAACACTTGTTCGATGCAATCTTCCAGATGACAGAACAAGGTATACACAAAATAGTTACCTCTCCTTAACTGGTTCATTCTCTAACCTCCATGACAGCAATTCGTTAACAAACACAGAAGACTAGCCACACTTTTCTGCATCGATTTATCATCATTTTCAGTGTTCATTTTTGTCTCTGATAGAGTCACCAAATATAATCAAGTCTTTACAGATAATTTCTTAAAATGATTATGCAACCTTGAGCTCCTTGGTTCATTTCTAATAACCTGGATGACAATGATTAGAATTATGGGGAAAAAAATTATCAATGACAGTTATTTTTTACAAAGCAGCAGAAATTCAACAAAGGAATACACTATAATATTTAACGTTGACCACATCCATAGATAAATAATGGTTAAGAATTTAATAACATATCAACACAATGGTGCCTATTTTATCCAAGTGCAACCTGTCCAAAAAGAAAGGGTTTAAGATACACTCTTCATTCAAGCACAGACTTCATTCACTGGAAAAATAAAAGAAAATCAGCAAGTAAATTTCACCACCACCAAACTAAATGAAGACAAAATCAAAAGGAAAGCGAAGAAAACACCCACATTCATAAAAAGATGCGATTTATCAAAGAACCACAATGAAGTTAAAGGGACTGTATTGTCTGTAAACCTCCAAAATTGCCATAAGCCATATTAAGGAGTGGGTACTCAGTAAGGCAGATATTAAGGTTTCATCAACCGGGAAAACGGACAAGCTGTAGAAGAGGCAACATCCCTCTGCTTTATCCTGTATAAAACATACAGCTCCTCACTCCCCCAAAAGGCGAGTGAGAGAAAGGAGGGAAGGATGGATGGACAAACAGAAAACAGATTTTGGTCATAGTGAAATTCATGAGAGTAACTCCAATTTAAATTTCCTCTTATAAGGTGCTTTATGGGCATTTCTCACAAGAAATTATCACAAGACTAGAACTGTCACACAAATTCTTACAATCAGAGCTCACAGCCACCAAATCCCAGCAACCTGCAGTTGAGGGAAGGAAATGCCTCTTCTAAACAGTGAGCCACAATTACAACCCACTCTCCACTAAGAAGAAATTTCTCTTTAAAAGAAAACAACCTTTTTTCAAGATCTATTCCACAACAGAGAGAGCCCGAATACCAAAGACTCTCTCCTAGCAGGCGAGGACAAAGGCATTTCCATAGGAAAGAGAAACTGCCATTTGGCAACTGTATACTGATCTGTAATCATTGGCATCTCCACCTGAAAGCTGACTTGTTTTTCTTTTTCCTGTATTAGATTTGGACTACTGATAATTACCCTAGCTAAAGACCTGTTATAAAATATCAAATATGAAAACAAATTACAATTTTTCTGAATGTTATCAGTGTTTCTACACCAATCTGGGGGTTTTCAAAATGAAAATACAGCATGTTTAACTCTAAAAGCCAAAACATTATGGACTCACGAAGCTAAAATCACCAGGAACACTTTGCTGGTCGCATGTATATTATGCTTAACCGAAACGTCACATGGTTTTATAAAAAAAATAAAATTAAATAAGCTGGGAGTTACAAGGTCCAAAATTCCACAAGTTCCGGCCATGTTTCATTCCTGCTGTCCAAGTACCACATACACTGAGATCCCATGTCTGTCATGCAGATCAGATTAGTTAAATGGTGATGGAGGAAATATTTACAAGCATCTATTTACAGTACTTCTTTCTGAAGATTACAGGCCAATATTCGTCTCTTCCATTCCTAGTCAATCTGAGTTTGGTTTCCTCAATGAGAAGGGGTAAATCTTAAAATGGCTACTCAGCTGCTTAACCTATGGAAAACCAGAACACAAAACAGTGACAAATATGTACCTTATTTTTTAAAGCATGAAGAATTCACCTTCTGGGAACAACAATTTATTGACACGGCAAAAATCATCAGAAATAATGAAGAGGTCTGCTGGATCAGAACAGCTAAAGAGCTAGCCAACTAGTTAAATGGGAATACTAGAACTACTAGGACTTGACTGTGGGTCTGCCTAACTCCAAAACCTAATCTTTCCAGAGTCCCCTAGGCCAGAAAAATTTACCTCCAAATCTACTGAAAACCCGTATGGTTATCTGATGTAATATCTAGTTATTCAAATAATTACATTTTTAAGTTACGCTCATCATTCAGCTTGTCAGAACATTTCTAAGTAAGCATTCCCAGTGCTACTGAAATGGTCTGGAACCAGATCTGTGAGTGTGGAGAAGACGGACCGGCAAGGTAACCCTAGTGGGTACAGTCATGTGCCAGTTAGGAGACGCCACCTGACACTTACTGTGGTTTATATTTCCGTAGTTCAAGAGGACGTTCTGTGTGGCCTAGCAAGCTGCACCTTCTGATCAGAAGCTGCAGTTTCAACTGATGAGAGCATGAGAAGTAAAATCTCAAATAATATAAAAGCCTTCCTTTAATCTGCAATTCTAACCTCTCTTACTGCATTGCTAAAAGATTTGGGCAGGGGAGGGAGGAATGGCTACAAAACCAATTTTAATTTCTTTACAATTTAAGTTAATAGCAATAAAAATATCCCTACAACTGAAGAGAAGAATTAGATAATAGGATTATCTGGTCCCACTCCATTAAAAACTGTTTACAATTCTAATCTACAAGAAAATAGCTTAAAGTCCACTTAAAATAAGCACTAATCCCCATAAGACCTATCCAGCTTTAGCGTCATTTGTTTTATAACATAATCATTAGAAAAATGGCAAAATCCTTACAGGTAATATAATTAAATAGCTTTCTTTTGAAATCTATTATCTCCTCTTCCCTTATAAGAAACAAATGGAAGCAGTTTTGCACATGATCACTCACCACTCGTACTCCATAATGGACGTGGGCCAGGGTGAAGGCAGCTGTTAGCGTATACAGGAGAATGCTCTCGAGGTAAGAGGCTACTCCTGAGTTCACTGCCACGACAACCGAGAAGAGAGGAACCAGCAACCAGTTCAAAGCCGGGCACCTCGTGCTGCTCATTTGACAAACAATCAACTGACACTTGAAGTTGGTTTTAAAAAGAAAGGAAAAAAAAAAGGTTAATTAGCAAAACAGTTCCAAAACTAGTCATTCCAATATTTAGAAAGTATTCAAAAACTTGAGCCAACACATTACATTACCTAAGTTCAGTGGTTCTCAACCTCCCTACCCTCCAAATGTGTGTCTGAAGTGACTAGAAAATAATTTAGTAAGGATGAGATAGAGCGCATTCATCCACTGGGTAATGACAGTTTACATAAAAGAACTTTCTCCCAACTTTAAGATCTGTGATACATGAGAAGAAATTCAAAATAACCTCCTACATCCCCACACAACGGAATTTCTCCACTGCAATGAAGAGGACGCTACGCCAGGCTAGCGATGTGCCCATAATTAATACTTCAAAACTTCTCTGGCCCCTTTATTTCTATGCTTTACTCACATACACTTTTACTCTTTACTCTTTTTATACAATGCACTGATGTTTTCAGATCTGCATTCATTTCTTTTTGAAGTCCTGGGCTTGAATCTCGGGACTCACACACCCGAGGCAAGCATTCTACCACTAAGCCACATTCCCCAGCCTGTTTTTTCATCTTTTAAACATATAAAATCAGTAGGAATGAGAATATTAACCACATTACAGAATGAAAACAGACTTGGTGACTGAGTTACAAGTTAAAAATGTTAAAGAACCTGACGTAACATACAGCAGAGGGTTCCTGACTCGCACGATGACCGGGGTCTTTTTTCAACCCCTGACCTCTCTTTCTTGTGCTCTTCTTGCTGGCAACAGCACAGACATTAATTCTCACCACATATACATGACAGCTAGGTGGTGCAGCTCTACAGCACCACACACACATAACAAAAGCACAACAGAAAATGTTGTGTTTGCCAGGCATGGAGAGGCACATCCTATAATCCCAGCGCTCAAAAGACTGAAGCAGGAGGATCAAGGCCAGCCTGGACTACGTAGCAAGACCCTGTCACAAAAACAAAGTTATTACACTCATTACAAAATTTTTATTCCGTATTATTAATCCTACAATCAGCTGCTGTGTGTTTTCTCTCTCAAATATCCCTTTCAAGCTGGACACGGTGGCACATGCCTGTTAATTCCACCATTCTGGAGGCTGAGGCAGGAAGATTCCAAGTTTGAGGCTAGTCTGGCCAACTTAGCAATGCGAGGCATTCATGAGGCCCTGGTTCAAGCCCCAGCATTACGACCAAAGCTCCCTAAGGAAGGCATTAGGTCTACAGTCATCTCAACTATACTATTTAGTGTTTACTCTGAAGTCAATCTAAGTTGTTCTATGAGTTCTTCATCAGGCAACCGGGTGTATTTGAGTATGCCATGGTTTCTTAACAGCATTCTGGTTTCAAAGGGCAAAAGGAAATAATTCTCCTTGGGCTGGGAGGGTAGCTCAGTTGTAGAGCACTTTTCTGCATGCTAGAGAACCTGGGTTCAATTCCCACCACCTTCAAAATAAAAGTTAATAAAAATAATTCTCAGCACATTCTGTCTTTGAGGTTATTGAATTTTCTTTCAAATTTGTGTTTTAAAAATCTTTAAATTAAAATCTCCTTATTCTAGTACTATAAGAGTTCTCGCCGGGGGTGTAGCTCAGCAGCACAGGGCCTGACTAGCAAGTGCAAGGTCCTGTGTTTGATCCCCAGTACCCAGAAAAAAAAAAAGAAAAAAAAAATTCTCAAATTATTAAATTGTCATATATTCCTAATACAGATGATTTTTTTTTAAAAGAAAAAAATCTTACTGTGATGTTGGCAAAGCCTGTTCCGACCATAAAGTAGAATATTCTAGGATGTATCTCTAAAATATCTGAAGGTGACCAGAGGATCCAGGCTGTAGACAAAATGAAGAGCAAACATGGAGAAAAGAAGGGAACCATAACTTCATAGACTGAATTGTGTTTCAAGGTGCTATTTTTATAGCTTCTGAAAAAAAAGAATCAAGTAATACAAAGAACATTATTACATGTAATACTTGTAGTTTGTAGTTTGCATCTTCCAAATTATTATTTTTTCTCTTCATACTCACAATAATCTTATGGCACAGACAGAACCAATAATATGTTTTGTTTGTTTGATTTTGAGGCAGTGTCTCACTCTGTGGCCCAAGCTGGTCTCAAACTTGTAATGATCCTGTGTCTCAACTTCCCAGGAGCTGGGATTACAATAGTGCATCACCATGCCTGACAGAACCAACAATCTTAACCCCAATTTATAGGTAGAGCAAGTGAGGATGAGAGATTCTAAACTACATAACTTGCTAACGAGTCAACCACGGATAGAACTGAATATTCCTTACCCTTGCCCATTTTTTCCTCTTTATATCAAACCATCAACTGTTGTGTTTGTAAGAATGCAAATATGAGCCAGGCATGGTGACACATAACTGTAATCCCAGCACTCTGGGAGGCTGGGGCAGGAGGACCACACGTTCAAGCTCAGTCTGGGCAACTTAGTGGACTTAGCAAGAGACTGTCTCCAAATAAAAAATAAAAATGGACTGAAGATCTAGCTCAGGACAAAGTTCCTGGCCTCAATAACCCAGAACCATCAAAAAAGAAAAAAGTGAAGAAGAATACAACTATATTTTTCTCTATGAAATACCCTACTGGAGGACATAAAACAAGCATGAAATGTCAACAGGGTGAAATGCCCACGTATGGAAGTCTGTGTCCAGTCTGTGGAGCCCCTTGGAGCTAGTGCACCCTTTCGAGGTGGGGCTTCACTGCAAGGTCTTTAGTCCTCAGCAGAGCCCCTCAGGAGATGGGACCCGGCCCCTTCTTCTCTCCTTCTGGCATCTCAGCCACTGCCCCCCACCTCATCCTCCTGTACCACAAGCCAAAGGCAAGGGGGCCAACCTCTCATACTCTGAAACCTCCAAAACGTGGAGCCGAAACGAACCCTTTCTTCAAAACAACAAAACAAGCCACGCGTGGTGACGCATGTGTGACCCCAGCATTTGTCTATTCTTGGCACGTCAGACAGGCGAATTACACACCCATTTGTCCTTTTGGCCCGGCTTATTGCACTTAGCATGATGTTTGCAAAGTTTATTCACATTTCTGTTTGATTTGGTTCTCTTTTATAATTTCTTGCTCTTTAATGATATTCACATTTGGTTCGTACATTGTTTTCCCGATTTCTTTCAGTTCTTTGCTGTGTAAGCATATTTAAGAGAGTCATTTTAAAATCCCCATCAAATAAATCTGACTTCCATCAGATTTCTCAGGGGGAAAAATAAATATTCCTGTACATTTGTTCATCTGAAAAGAGTCCCAATATTCTGCTCAATCAAAACCTCACAATTCTAGGATAAGGAGGAAATGACTTGATTTCTACAGCCTTCAGAGCTTTAAGCTTTATGGCCTCTATAAATGACTTCAGCCGCAATAAATATGACAGATTCACAGAGCTTGGCTTGCCATGGGGTATGATTCTGAGGCAGACCTGAGCTCAAAGATGAAGTGGGAAGTACAAGAAAAGTGTTTCAACTAGAAGAAGCAATAGCAGAGAAAACAGCCAGCACAAAATCGTCAGTCAGGCAAAGAGAAAAATCTACTCAGAACTCAGGAAGTAAACACAGTGCAGGCGAACAAAGTGGGGACACACAGGGGCCAGAGACATGGAGGAGTGACTCTACCTCCAAAGCCCTCCTCCCCAAAGACAGAAACTGCTACACAACTGCTGTTTGACAAGAGTCAATGAAGTAACTTTGGTACCAACCTACATGCATTCAGAAATGTTTAGGATTTTATTAACTACACAAAATCAATTTATAGAACAGAACAGAAACATCAGTTATTTAATAGGAAAACACTACCTCCTTGTAGGTACATTCACTCGTACGAGTGAGGAGTTAGAAGCCTGGAGCCCAAACCTTTAACAGAAGAACCTAGCTGCTCGGGTGTGGCTGAACTGGCAATATGAGCCATCAAAGATCCTCTAAATTATCTAAACTCATTTTAGATTCAACATATTAGCTTTAAGACTTTTTGAAAATGTCCAGATGCCAAAAGGAAAACACAGCCTTAAAGTCAGCTACATGACAATTGCTAAAGACATTCATATTTCTTGCCCGATTGAAAAAATAAAGCACTTACCTATAAAAGTTTAAGAAGCTCATTGGCAGAGTCACACACACGGCACAACCTGAAAGAGAGAATATTAAATTGTCATGAGGTACTCAAGTGATTACATGACAGTAATTGAATCCACACAAAATACTCAATGTTTTTAGGCCCAAGAATGCTCAGGTTCACCTTTAATTCTGTGATAAAACCAAACACATTTCTAAACAGCATCACAACCGACACTGTGGCAACACAGTGAGACGGTCAGAGCTCAGGCTGAAGGAGACGGTCTGGAGCTCAGCTCCGTTTGCACCTGACACTGCTTATGTGATTTTAGGCGACCAACCCACCAGAGCTCCCGGCTTCCTCGTTTACTTAACAGAGAACCTAGGAGTTCCAGCCCCATGGAATTGTGAGAACTCAGTAACTACCACATATGAAGAAGATACCTAGAATGGCGCCTACTATACAATAAATCGAAAAATAAGCATAAACTACTGGAAGGAGAGGTACAGCCTGTGCTTCCTATTTATACTTATTAATCTCCCTGGAGATTTTCAATTTCTCCCCTCCCTAGCCTAACTACAAGGGTGGCTTCCCAAGAAACTCCACTGATTCTGCGGCCCCCTCCGCAGTCTTACTCGACCATCTCCATTTGTTTCAATTTCTTAGCATTCTTTCATTCATTCTGCCCCATAACCTGCGGAAATTACAATTTAGCAAGCTTCCCTAATGACCAAATCCAATAACCCTTTTCATTTCAGAAAATGATCTACGTAAGATGATCTAGCTGTTTACTTGCCAACTGCAGTTCTTTCCTTCCTCCGCCCTTTTAATTTCATTCTCCCAATGAGCCTGCTAGCCACCTAACCATTATTTTGTGTCCTTTATTGACAACCTGACCTCCTCGTGTCCCTTACATTTTCAAAAATCTGAGTCTCGCTGAGTGTGATGACACGCCTGTAATCCCAGGACTCTCAGAGGCTGAGGCAGGAGGATCAAAAGTCCAAGCCCAGCCTGGCCAACTTACTTAGTAAGACTTTGTCTCAAAATAAAAAATAAGAAAAGACCAGGGATGTAGTTCATTGCAAAGGCTTGGGTTCAATCCACAGCAGGGAAATTTCTGATTCTGTGGTCTGCAGAGATGTTAATTCCTGATTGCTCTCTCTTTCACAACTACAAATCAAGACATCTCAGACAACTTTCTGAATGCTTCATTTGTATGCTTTAGTCACGGGACTGCTCTGTCCAGTCCAGGCTCCTTCCTGGTAACTGTATTGGTTAGAAGGTCAATACAGCTATATAATCTTAAGGATCAAAGGTATAAAACATAACGCCTGGCTAGGAACAGAAAAAAAGACTAGAACTCAGCAGAAATCTTTTCACAAAAGATGAATTACTCTGCTACTTCCACACCCAAATGAAATAGTCCATCAAATTAGATTACCTGAGAAAGAAGACAATAAGCTTAATGTCCTCGGGACTCTTAGTGTTCCTGAGTAGCATTTAGTTTACTCCATGTCAAACTGAGTAGCACGGAAGGGGAGCCAAGGCTACATGAATTAACTCAGGATTACCTGAGGCTCTGAGGTGTCAGAAACGGGCCTAAGAAGAACCAGGACAAGATTTGCTACCAAGATTCATTTTAGTTTAAAAAGTCACAAGGTATTTTGTGTGGTTATTTTGTTTGGTTTTATTTTTTGAGGTCCTGGGGAATCAAACCAGCACGCTATGCAAGCACTTTATCCCTGAGCTCTAACTCCTTTTTATTTTAGACAACATCTTGCTAAATTGTCCAGGCTGGCCCTGAAGTTGTAATCCTCCTGCCTCCAGAGTAACAGGGCTGGAAGTTTTAAGTACAATAAGCATGTGGAAAGCCTGGACTCTACATAGTTGAGCAAAGAAAAAGACTGCATCTTCTATTGTTTCTCTAAACAGTACGTCATACACTTTCTGTAAAGAATGTTTATTTAAATACTTACCTATTAAATCCCACATTTCAGAATGCAACAGTTATAGAATACATATAATGAATGGCAACATCTATGCTTGTTTTGCAAATTACCATTAATTCAAGGTCAGGATTTTTTAAAAGGATCAAAATAAAGATAATGTAGTCATAAGAATATTTTGGTTCCTCACATTTCTCGCTTATTAAACAGAAACTTCAATTAAAATCATCAACACTAAAGCTGGACAGTATCTTATGTGGATGAAATGGGCTGGTGGAAATTCAGAGTTATACAATCCCCAAGGAGGGGATTATGGGAATGTTTAGCAATATTACATACAGTTATCCTTTATAGCAATTCCACTTCTAGGAATCTCTTCCATAATCCCCTGGCAAAAATAGGAAAAGACCTATGTGCAAGGCTATTCACCTGTAGCAATCCGTGCAACAGAGGAGCCTGGAAACAATCCAAGCACTACGAACAGGGGGCTGGCTGGCTGAACGGACTGGTGCACTGTGGTACAATCGGGCAGCCGAAATGTGTAAGACAGAAGGAGGAAGATTACAGTATCATGATGAAAGGGTCGCTGATACACTGGGAAGTGGGGGAAGGACATCACAGAGCAAAGTATGCACAGAATACCATCGTTATCATGAGAGTGACAGCGTTCATTCACTGACAATAAAGAAACAAAGAAAAGATAAGCCATACAATTACAAAGTCAAAATGGCTATCTATGAAAAAAGAGGAAGAGCAGCGATAGAAGTTACACTTCTTTGAACAGGCCGTTTTATAAATTTGGCTTTACTCGTGAGTGTTTCACACAATTATTTAAAATTTTTAAAAAAACAGACTTCTTATAATCAAAAATCCTAACTCGGAAGGGGAACCAAGAGCCAGAAGAAGCAGGGAGAGATGGAAGGGAGGGAGGATGAATAAAGAATTAAGATGTGTTGTGTGCAGGTACCAACTCCCCATGACAAATGTAATCATTACGTACTGCAAACACGCGCCATATGTACACATCCACGGCTACGGCAGAACCTCAGAATTCGGGAACCTGACTGGACATCTCCGCTGGGATAAATTATAGGTCAAATAGAACTAAAGAAGCCAACGCTTTACACTATTTTCAGTAGTCATATTTTTGCCGATTTTGGTACTGTATTCTGAGACTGGGTACTTCACAGAATTAAGCAAATGAGTGATAATCTTGTTACTGGACACCAAGATTTTTGTCATAATTTAAAAGGAGATACAAATGTAAGATCAATGAGATTAAGTAAAACTTCTGTATTTTCTATTTTTATTTGGAAATTTATCATAAAACTAAGCAATACACTTCCCAAGCAATGATTGTCAAAGACTATGAATACTCCTACTGGTAGCTGAGGAACAGATGCCAAGAGAGTAACGATATATAATGTCCGAACCTCTGATCACTGTTAACATCGCAAGAGAGACAGCTAATACTGCTGCCTCCTAATATGGCACAGCTGGAAATACCACTACCTAATAAGCATTGTTTTTGTACCACACCCCCAGGGAAACCTGTATCTAGCCAGGCCCATAGGTTTAACTATTATTTATAGGAAAATGAGAAGGCAGGAAATATGTCAAATGACATAATGAGAATTCAACCTGGAAAAAAATGACCCAGTTTCTTCTGCAAGTAAATTACAAAGCAAAAAATAAAAAAGAAAGAGAAAATGTATGTTTATCAAAAGAGATTTAAACAACACAGCAATCAGATGCAATATACAGGTACTATTTGGTGGCTATAAAAAACAAATGATATCTGAGAGAATTACAAAAATCTGAATACTGTCTACATACTTGATAATATAATTAGTATTAGTCCCTTTGGTATTGAGGCAAGAAGGCAGGGCATGGCGGAGCTGGCTGGGGGAATAAGCATGATCTGTTATTTAAAATCTCAGGACTCAGGCCAGGGATGTAGCTCAGTGGCACTGTGCCTGCCTCCCAAGTGCAAGGTCCTGAGTTTGATCCCCGGTGCCAAAAAAAATGAAACAAAACAAAATCCCAGGACACATCTGCAGAACACTTCCCAAAGCCCCAGGATGTGGGCTTTTCACAAAAACCTGTGATGTGCAGAATGAATAAAAAGAGAAAGAAGCCACTGAAAGCTCACTATGGTGGCTTTGGTCGTGAGAACCTGCCCTATATTCTCTAGGATGTACTTGTATTTTTCTTTTCTTTTTTTTTTTTTTAATTTTTACTCAGCCCAAATTTGCTGTTCAGAGCCAGTTTCTCCCTTACTCTTCACTTTTAATTTTTCCTACCTCAAATAAATGTGAAATTTTGTCACCATTCTTTTGAGAATTTTTTTTTCAGTACCAGGGATCAAACTCAGGACCTTGCACTTGCTGGGCAGGTACAGCACCACTGAGCTAAATCCCCGGCCTTTTGCCATATTTTTACTTGTTTTGTTCAATTCTTTATTCGAGACAGAACTTAGAAACCACCTCCAAGAGGAGACTGCAGCACCCCAAAACACATGAACAGTATGTATTACAATTACAATGAACCCTTGAGTTATGATCAGCCTGGCATATGAACAACTTCGGTTACAACCAAAATTTTAGTTTTCACTTACGACCAAAGGCTTGAGTTATAACCCAAAAGCCAGCCACTGTTGCTTCCAGGTGGTCTAAGGTAAAGAGTTAACCCTTAAAGAGTTCCAGAAGAAACATTACAACACCCTTTTCTGTGTGGGGTTAAATGAGAAATCCAGCGTTTCTCTAAGGACACTGAGATCTGCCTGCGTACAGGAAAGACTTTGAAGGTAACCGACCAACTTGAGATACAACCAGCACTCGGAACAAACTAAGTCATAAGTCATGGGTCCACTGTATGTTCCTAAAAGAAGAAATCTAGGGCTGGGGATGCAGCTCAGTGGTATAGTGCCCTCCCTGCCATAGGTGAGGCACTGGATTCAAGCCCTAGCACCACAAAAGACAAAAAACAAAAAACTAAACTATCATTCAGAGATATATAGGAGGTGTTTATGAATGAAATGATGTCTGAAATTTGCTTTTAAATAATCTAAAGGGAGGAGAAGTCTGTTAATGGTGGCACAAAGGAGTGGGGCAATTCTCACAAATAATTAGACAAAAATATTCAAAATGACTACTTGAAGGTACTAGAAAAGTCAAAAGCAGGCCGAAACCTGAGAAGGATTCACACTTGGGTCACTAGGGAACAGCTCCTTTAGCTGCCTGTCTGTACCCCAACCTCACCCATCCCGGGTGGTGGAAAACCTCAGCCTTCCCTGCCAGCTGTGGAGAAGATTAATAGAATTGAGAGCGAGAGAGGCACCACCAGTGGGGGATGGGGCATCTAAAGAGCGATGCGGAAGGGCTGACTCCACCTGAGCATACACTTGCCAGATCCCTGGGGGCTACTAAACCACGTGGGCAAATAGGAGACCTCCGGAACGTGACAGAAGGGTAGGAATTAGAGATGTTATCCTGTGAAAGACAAAAGCACCCTCAGTGAGACCCGCGGGTCTGCTGAACACCCCACACCCAGGCTGGGGATGAAACCCAGGGACTAACAAACGGTCTATCACCGAGCTACACCCCAGCCTGCTGTGCCCTTCATCTCACTATGTGTGCTTCTCTTTGATCCACACCCAATCTTGGGCTGAAGAGGAAGAACCCTTGCTGTGTTGAAGTATCAGAGGACAGAACACAGTTGCTCAGACAGCAGCTGAAGATTCAGGATGAGGAACCCCAGAAGCAACAACCATAGAGAGGTGAGCACCAAAATCTCAGCAGCAACTCTACCTTGGCTTTTTGGCTAATGGCTAAACTACAGAGAAACAAGGAGTAATCCCCCAAGAAACCAGGCTAAGCAAACAGCAACTGGCCAGGCACAGCAGGGCGTACTTGTGATCCCAGCTTCTCAGGAGGCCAATGCAGCAGGATCACATATTTGAGGCCGGCCTGGAAAACCTAGCAAGACTGTATCTCAACATAAAACAAAAGGGCTGAACATGTAGTCCAGTGGTAGAGCACTTCCCTAGCATATGGATGGGCCTGGGTAAAAATCTCCAGGACCAGGAAGGGGAGGTGGCTGAAAGCTGAAAATAATTACGCAGGGACATCAGCTGCTATACACCATGAGGGGACAGATTTCTCAGTCTGAATTCAAACAAGTTAAATGCCTACTAGAATAACAAAAACAATTTTTTTTGCAGAAGAACAAAACATATTCCAACGTCTCTACAAATATTTTCTCTATGAGCCTTCTTTTTCACAAGGTGTTGGGGATGAAACCTAGAGGCTCCTACATGCTAAGCAAGCACTCCACCACTACACAACACCCCAGCATATGATGACAATGTCTAGTTTCAACAACAACAAAATTGCAAGAGGTGCAAAAGGGGGGAAATAGCAATCATTAGAAACTGTTGGATCTGACAGGCTACAAAGCAGCTATTTTCCAACATGTTCAAAGAACTAAAAGAAAATATGGTGATAATGAATAAACAAATGAGAGAATCTCAACACAGAAAAAGAAAATGGAACTAAGTGGAAATTCTAGAGCTGAAAAGTACAAAAACTTAACTGACAATTTGACTAGATAGGCTCAACACCAGATTGGCAATGGCAGAAACAAGCAAGCAATGACTCTGAAGACACATGAATAGAAATAATCTAATACAGAGAACAGATTAAAAACAAGAGTACAGAAAAACTTAAAAGACGCAGAAAATTACCTATACAACACAGCAAGTAAATCTAACACGTTATATATGTTA